CATAATATATAATACATGGAAATATTAAAGTAGATAGTTCATGTTAATTGCATGCTGCGTATGAAATTAATATGTGAGTTTTTTGTTGAAAAATGGCAGATATTGTGACTTTCATAACTGCAAAGGGAAATGATGATCCTTACCAACTGATCAAATGCACTTAGAGCATTTCACGCATGTATAAAGAAGATGCACAACGTTCTTTAATATCAATGATTACATTCGTTAGCTATCTAGTTGTAACTACCTCATTATGATAACGTAATTTGTAGAATTATTTTCACACACATTTTTTTTCTCCATCATAATCATGTTATAATGGAGAAAGGTGAAGAGCATTTCACGCATGTATAAAGAAGATAACAATGTTCTTTAATATCAATGATTACGTTGGTTTGATATCTGGTTATAATAACGTAATATGTAGAAAGTGATTTTCACACATATTTTATCTTCCTATCATAACCGTGCTATTTTCTAACTTTTAGAATAAACTAAAAAATAATTAAGTAAAAATAGAAGAAAGTGTTTGAAAATCTTTTTCAAAGAAGATAAAATAAACATCCATTTAACCAAGTCCTCTTTTGAACAAAAACCTAAGGAACAACTGGGACAAAGTCAGCTACAAGAATATGAAAACATAACTCATGAGATGGTGAGATCATTGTATAGAAGTTTTTAGTTATTTGCGTTATTTGCGTTATTTGTGTTGTTGGAGGAGGTCTTGAATTTAATTTTCGTCGTATTTTTATTTGCGTTATTACATTAAAAAGAAAAAAAGACCAAACTTTTAATTAATTATGATAGTTGATCAGGTGATGTGACTGTTAATAAATACTTACAGTTATATCATATGGTTCATGTATACGTAGTTTGATAGTTGAAGATCCAAACTAAATTCACAAATACTATTTCGGCAATGCTTTCAATGCTAGATTCGAGCGGCTTCGATTCATGGTGGTAGCAAAGGTATAATTAGTGTGGATGCAAATTTTCTCCTCCTCGATCTTGGACGATTTTGCACCTACAAAACAACTAGCACCTTAGGTTAAGGCCCAAAGCCTCACGCACCCACGATGAATTGGGGGGTTTTGGCCGAAGAACCTCCGATGCTAAAGTTAGAATTTTAGAGAGAAATAGTGTTGAGTATTTGGGATTTTTTGTAAGAGAATTGGAATCTATTTATAGGGATAGGGGTGGCCAGCCTAGCTAGGGTTTTTGTGTTTGATTTAGGTTTAATTAGCCAATTTATTTGGCAATTAAACATAAAATGAATGTTTTGGTGGTTTTTGGAATTAATTGGCTTAGTTAATTAGGGTAATTAAAAAAGGGAGTGAAAAAGTGGAGAAAGGTTGAGAGAATTAAGGTTTTACTTTTCTTGATGGATTTGGCCGGCCACTTTTAGTAGTTTTAGGTTTGGATGAGTGTTTCAATTGATAATTAAGGGTTTGATTAGGTAATTAATCCCTTAATTAGTCAATTATTATGATTTTAGGAAATATGAAAGGAATAAGTATATTATTTAGCTAATTGATTAGCTAAATAATGAAATGGGAAATATATGAATAAATTAGGTTTTAAGTTGATACCTATTTTGGGCACTTTTGACTTGGTTGAAGAATAATTGTCTGCTGCTTGCGCGTAAGAATCCCGGTATACATGAAGGGTAGTTTTGTCTTCTTTTGTCAAAAATCTACGTGTCGCCTTATGATTATTTTTGGCTCCACAGTTAGGATTTTTATTGTTTTAATTTTTCAATTTTATTGAACATTTACTTTTTACTATTAGTACTTTTTGTGTCTTATAAACGTTTTTAATGTACCGTTAAAGTTTACTTTGTAAATAACATTTTCTATGACCATCAGTCATTGTTATAAACGTGAGCACTCTTGTTTCTTTCAAATAAAAAAATATAGAAAAGAATATCTTTTCTTCTTTGCCTTTTTTTTAAAGAAAGACAGGGGAAGCCTCCCTAATAAAAATACCCCCACAAAAAGCAGAAGAAAATGATAAAAAGGGGGTGACTGTGTGCAATGCAGGGAGTGCCCTTTCCTTTTCACCTTTCTTTCCAATATTTTTTTGTAACTTTGCAGATTACAGTTGAACTACTGTGTCTGTGTGTTCCTCTGTGTGTGCATACGTATGGCTGTTTTGCTTTGGTTTCTCATACCAAAAAAACCAGCAAACATCACTTTCTTCTAAAGTCTTCTAATTTTCTCGCATTCGTATATTTTTCGTGGCTTTTGTGTTCTTCTTAATTATCTTCCATTTTCTGCGATCGATGTTTTTCTTTTAATCTCATATTTTAAAACCAGCAAACATCACTTTCTTCTAAACTCTTCTAATTTTCTCGCATTCGTATATTTTTCGTGGCTTTTGTGTTCTTCACAATTATCTTCCATTTTCTGCGATCGATGTTTTTCTTTAAATCTCATATTTTTTGAAAGATAATTTCATGTTTTTGTGGCTCAGTGTCTCCCTAAACCACGCTTAAATATAGGTCATAATTTTCTTCAATCTTCATTCGTTAGCCAGTGCTCGACTCATTCATCAATATATTCATGTAAGTCCTTAACACCTTATTTTGGGATTTTTTTTTCTATGTTATGGGAAATGATTTGTAGGCATCTTTTTTTTCTCGTCGTGTAAACTCTCGTTTATTTCTAGTCTTTGAATTGAATGAAATAAGGAGAATTGATAAATGATTTTAAACAGGGTGTGTAGAGGGAGAAAAATAGCGTGTCGAAATTATTTTCCTCATGTGTGTACCGTATATAAATTTTTATTTAGTTTCTTATGCGGTGTGATTGGGTTTTAGACTATTTCCTTTGTTTTTGTACTGCGTTTGGCTGCTCAGAAAACTGAGGAAGGGAGAAAAAAGTCCCAAACTTTGAATATTTTGTGTCATTACTTGGAACCTAATATTATTTTTTACTACTAACGTAAAGTTCAGTGCTCTGATGGTATTTTTTGGCTTGGTTGAGGTGGGTTTTTTTAAAATATATTTTCTTCTGTTTTTATGTACTATATACAGTGTTTGATATGTAATTCTTTTGAACATGGAATTGATAAGTGAGAAATTATGTATGATTTTGACTTAAGGGTCATGCACTCCAATTATTAATTTGGGATGACCTCTCTTCTGCTTGACAAATTGCTTCATCCATAAAGTGTTGAAATTTCTTATGTTTATTTAAGAAATTAATTAGAGATTTGATTTGATTTTGTATTAGGGTATTTTTGGCATTTACGAATTAGGATTTCTCTAGGTTATATCGCTATAAATATAGTTCGTAAATTAGTTTAAGAAACAAGTTAGTCAAAGTCTAGTTTTACGAGTTATATTTTGAATTTTGTTGCTTAGCCTGATTTTCAACATAAAAGTCTATGTTTGTGGACTTTTCTTTGCCTTCTTTTCCATTTTGGTCTCGTAAACATTGCTGAGTATTTACAGTTAAAAAGTCATTATTTCTCAGCTGTGAATCATGTACTAAAATATATACATAATTAACTTAATAAAAGCACAACGCACATCTCCAACGGTGATAGATTTGTAAAGAGGAAGCAATCATGTCTCAGATCTTTCAACTCATTTTCTTTATTTTCTTGCATTTTTATGGAGGGTGTTTAAGGTTTCGTGTTCACTTGAGGTTTCATTTCTCTTCAGCAGGATCATATGATGGAGAAAAACATTGTGATTAGTGAAAGCGAAAGCAGGGCAATTGCAAGCCAAAAGTTGGGGGGTTTAGGCACTTTTCTGAGGAAATGCTTGTTCAGTGTTGTCTCTGTGGGCCCCATTCCTGAACACATAGCCTTCATCATGGATGGAAACAGAAGGTATGCAAAGAGGAGGAACTTGCCTGTTGGGGAAGGCCACAAAGCCGGATTTTTATCTCTCATGTCGATTCTCCGGTACTGCTACGAGTTGGGAGTGAAGTATGTGACAGTGTATGCCTTCAGCATTGACAATTTCAAGAGGCGGCCCGACGAGGTGAAAACTCTGATGGATTTGTTGCAGGAGAAGATTGAAGGGTTGCTTGAGAAAGAAAGTATTGTAAACCAGTTTGGCATTCGGGTATACTTTATCGGTAACTTGAAGCTTTTGAATGAGTCTGTGAGGGTTGCTGCTGAGAAGGCAATGAAGGCCACTGCCAATAATTCAAAGGCTGTGCTTTTGATCTGTGTGGCTTATACTTCTTGTGATGAGATTGTCCATGCTGTTGAAGAATCCTGCAACATGAAAAAGAGCGAAATTCGAGCACAGATTAACGGAACAAAGGGTGGCTGCAATGGCGGTATGGATGGAGAAGCGGGGTTAGATACTAGCGAAGCTTGCAATGAGAAAGTTGAGGGGGAGGAGAAGGAAAACGCAAGGGTTAAACATGTCGAAAAAGGTGAAGGGGAATTTCTTGAGAATGAGAAGCAGCTTCCTGTTGTAAAGGTAGTGGATGTTGAGAAGCACTTGTACATGTCAGTGGCACCTGATCCAGACATTTTGATTCGAACTTCAGGTGAGACACGCTTAAGCAATTTTCTGCTTTGGCAAACTTCTAACTGCCCGTTGTACTCCCCTGCTGCACTGTGGCCGGATTTGGGTATGTGGCACTTGGTTTGGGTAATTCTGAACTTCCAGAGAAACCACTACTATTTGGAGAAGAAAAGGAAGCAGATGTAATGATCATAACGCCGTGGAGATTTGTAAATCATGTGATCATGCTTACAATTCCTCTGGAAGTTGGAAATGTTGAACAAACAGCTTGTATTTTCCCGGATTCTTTACTTATACTATGCATAATAGCGTGTCAATATTTGGTGATCTTAATTAATAATATATGCTTCTTACTTACTAAATCATTCATGTTATAACACGTGTATAACAATATTCTACTGCTCGGTTCAGAAGAATCGGAACTTAGTAGAAGATTGGGCCGCAATGATTTTATTATTGTGATCTGTTTTTCACACTCAATGTAACCCTACATACAGTTGAAGGCGGCTATAGCTTTTGAAAATGATGCAGCAACCAATTCAACTTTTTTTTATCATGGTTGCCGCATGAAATTTCCTAACAGAGAGATAAAGGCCACTTTTCTGGATAATCAACCAACCCCCCCTTTGGATGGTCTTGATCAAAACCCCAAAATCTGTGTTTTGTCGATCGGACGGCAGATATTGAGTAAAAAATTACCTACCAAATGTGAATTTATGCTCTCCCATTGTATAAGACTCCATATTAGACCTAGACTTTCATGTAAAATACAGTGTTCTCCAAGTTCTTCATGCTAGAACTGCCATGGCTCTCGGTCTGCGATTCGATATAGTTCTTCTTCCGGTTCTACTTTCCGCCCTCCTCCTAACTAAAGCCGCCTCTATCTCTCATCACCACCATGACCGCCACCACCATCATCTCAAGTCCCTCCACTTCACTCTCTTTCAACACGAAACCATAAACAGAACCGGATATATTGTAGTGAATGGTGTAACAGGACCAGGCGTAAGTCAAACCACTACCCCTTTTGGCACCGTGTTTGTTTTCCAGGATCCGATGACTGTCACAGCCAATCGATCTTCGAAAGCAGTTGGGATAGCTCAAGGAACTTCTGTCACATCCAGCTTAGATGGGCTTCAGAGCATTTCAGTAGCGAAGATCACTTTGCGCTTGAAGAACCACTCCGGTTCAGTTTCTATAGTCGGAGGCACGCATAATGTGAAGCCCGCCGATCATCCTGTTGTGGGAGGCACCGGCGATTTCCTGTTTGTTCAAGGCTACGTGACATCGTCCCCTGTCGATCTCAGGGGCCTAACTGTTGTCTACAAGATTGCATTTCACCTTTACTGGCCTCCGTATGCAACTCAAGCTTCTTAAGCGTGATTTTGTATCTCCACTTTTTCCTTAATGTTATCGCTATCTAAGATTGAAATGTAATTTGATTAGATCATCGGTTAAATCCACGATGAAAACCGAAAATAGATGAATCAATCTGATGTAAAAATAAATAAATGTGGTTTCACGAAACAGGAATCAAAATTTCAATCTCTAATTAATCGTCATAGCGAAGATACAGAAAATTTCAAGTTACAATTTTCAAACCATGTCCACGAAAAGCTTGAACAAGGCGCAAGCATTTACAGAAAAAAGAACGATGATAAGAATATAAGTCGTTACCAAAAGAAGCAGGTGTTTACATGTCGTGTTAACTTTCGCGTATAACTGATGAAGAATTCAAGACTCTGTGTGGGGTACGAATCAAAGAATCAAATACCATGAAGCAAGCAGGAAAAGCTTCACGAATGCAGCTATAGCAATACTTAGACCTGCCCATATAAATGAGAAGAACAAGTGCCGTAGATCGTACCTAACTGCAAAAGCATTGGAGGCAAAATCATCATTTAGTTGCAGATTTGCAAAGATGTTAACGATCAGATATTGTTTCTCTCAAGAAAATTAACCAACATTGTCCCGGTCCCATCCCACCCTTTCACCACCGAAGCCATGATTTCTGCAAATCTATCTTTGTCACAACATGACATGTTTATATTTACCTTGCCTCAATGACAATGTCGCAAAAAAGAACCCCGTCAAAACGAAAAACAAAGCCAGTGGAAATGACTGCAGAACAATGCGCACCTGCAGACATTGTAAGCCCTCTAAGCACAACCTCTATATGCTAGATAGAGAGAGAGAGAAAGAGAGAAGGTAGAAGAAAAGAGAAAAGGATGTACTCACAGACTCTAAAGCATTCATCTAATTTGGGATGTGATTTAATAGTTTCTTCAGCCGCAAAAATTCCAAGCCTTCTAAGTTGGCATTCCAACATATTTCGGGCTATCATGCTCTGCAACAAATCAGACTCTTTTAGGGAAGAAACATTGGGAAAAAAAGGTATACAACTAGAACCATCAATAAAGTGATTATAAAATAGTAGTCCGGGTTTGGCTGCATAACTGAAAGAAGTAGTAGCGACAACAGTTAAAAAGTCATTATTTCTTAGCTGTGAATCATGTACTAAAATATATACATAATTAACTTAATAAAAGCACAACGCACATCTCCAACGGTGATAGATTTGTAAAGAGGAAGCGATCATGTCTCAGATCTTTCAACTCATTTTCTTTATGTTCTTGTATTTATATGGAGGGAGTTTAAGGTTTCGTGTTCACTTGAGGTTTCATTTCTCTTCAGCAGGATCATATGATGGAGAAAAACAGTGTGATTAGTGAAAGCGAAAGCAGGGCAATTGCAAGCCAAAAGTTGGGGGGTTTAGGCACTTTTCTGAGGAAATGCTTGTTCAGTGTTGTCTCTGTGGGCCCCATTCCTGAACACATAGCCTTCATCATGGATGGAAACAGAAGGTATGCAAAGAGGAGGAACTTGCCTGTTGGGGAAGGCCACAGAGCTGGATTTCCATCTCTCATGTCGATTCTCCGGTACTGCTAGGATTTGGGAGTGAAGTATGTGACAGTGTATGCCTTCAGCATTGACAATTTCAAGAGGCGGCCCGACGAGGTGAAAACTCTGATGGATTTGTTGCGGGAGAAGATTGAAGGGTTGCTTGAGAAAGAAAGCATTGTAAACCAGTTTGGCAATCGGGTATACTTTATCGGTAACTTGAAGCTTTTGAACGAGTCTGTGAGGGTTGCTGCTGAGAAGGCAATGAAGGCCACTGCCAATAATTCAAAGGCTGTGCTTTTGATCTGTGTGGCTTATACTTCTTGTGATGAGATTATCCATGCTGTTGAAGAATCCTGCAATGTGAAAAAGAGCGAAATTCGAGCACAGATTAACGGAGCAAAGGGTGGCCGCAATGGCGGTATGGATGGAGAAGCGGGGTTAGATACTAGCTAAGCTTGCAATGAGAACGTTGAGGGGGAGGAGAAGGAAAACACAAGGGTTAAACATGTCGAAAAAGATGAAGGGGAATTTCTAGAGAGTGAGAAGCAGCTTCCTGTTGTAAAGGTAGTGAATGTTGAGAAGCACTTGTACATGTCAGTGGCACCTGATCCAGACATTTTGATTCGAACTTCAGGTGAGACACGCTTAAGCAATTTTCTGCTTTGGCAAACTTCTAACTGCCCGTTGTACTCCCCTGCTGCACTGTGGCCGGATTTGGGTATGTGGCACTTGGTTTGGGCAATTCTGAACTTCCAACTATTTGGAGAAGAAAAGGAAGCAGATGTAACGATCATAACGCTGTGGAGATTTGTAAATCATGTGATTATGCTTACAATTCCTCTGGAAGCTTGGAAATGTTGAACAAACAGCTTATATTTTCCTGGATTCTTAACTTATATGACAGCGTGTCATTATTTGGTGATCTTAATTAATAATATATGCTTCTTACTTACTAAATCATTCATGTTATAACACGTGTATAACAATCTTCTACTGCTCGGTTCAGAAGAATCGGACTCAGTAGAAGATTGGGCCACGATGATTTTATTATTGTGATATGTTTTTCACACTCAATGTAACTCTACATACAGTTGAAGGCGACTATAGCTTTTGAAAATGATGCAGCAACCAATTCAAGTTTTTTTATCATGGTTGCTGCATGAAAATTCAAAACAGAGATAAGGGCCACTTTTCTGGATAATCAACCAACCCCCCCTTTGGATGGTCTTGATCAAAACCCCAAAATCTGTGTTTTGACGATCGGGCAGCAGATATTGAGTCAAAAATTACCTACCAAATGTGAATTTATGCTCTCCCATTGTATAAGACTCCATACTAGAACTAGACTTTCATGTAAAATTCAGTGTTCTCCAAGTTCTTCATGCTAGAACTGCCATGGCTCTCGCTCTGCGATTCGATATAGTTCTTCTTCCGGTTCTACTTTCCGCCCTCCTCCTAACTAAAGCCGCCTCTACCTCTCATCACCACCATGACCGTCGCCACCACCATAACCGTCACCACCATCATCTCAAGTCCCTCCACTTCACTCTCTTTCAACACGAAACCAGAAACAGAACTGGATATATTGTAGTGAATGGTGTAACAGGACCAGGCGTAAGTCAAACCACTACCCCTTTTGGCACCGTGTTTGTTTTCCAGGATCCGATGACTGTCACAGCCAATCAATCTTCAAAAGCAGTTGGGATAGCTCAAGGAACTACCGTCTCATCCAGCTTAGATGGACTTCAGAGCATTTCAGTGGCTAAGATCACTTTGCGCTTGAAGAACCACTCTGGTTCAGTTTCTATAGTCAGAGACACGCATAATGTGAAGGCCACCGATCATCCCGTTGTGGGAGGCACCGGCGATTTCCTGTTTGTTCAAGGCTACGTGACATCGTCCCCTGTCGATCTCAGGGGCCTAACTGTTGTCTACAGGATTGCATTTCACCTTTACTGGCCTCCATATACAACTCAAGTTTCTTAAGTGTGATTTTGTATCTCCACTTTTTCTTTAATGTTATCGCTATCTAAGATTGAAATGTAATTTGATTAGATCATCGGTTAAATCCACGATGAAAACCAAAAATAGATGAACCAATCTGATGTAAAAAAAATAAATGTGGTTTCACGAAACAGGAATCAAAATTTCAATCTCTAATTAATCGTCATAGCGAAGATACAGAAAATTTCAAGTTACAATTTTCAAACCATGTCCATGAAAAGCTTGAACAAGGCGCAAGCATTTACAGAAAAAAGAACGATGATAAGAATATAAGTCGTTACCAAAAGAAGCAGGTGTTTACATGTCGTGTTAACTTTCACGTATAACTGATGAAGAATTCAAGACTCTGTGGGGTACGAATCAAAGAATCAAATACCATGAAGCAAGCAGGAAAAGCTTCACAGCAAAATGAATCGGCCACAACATTCTGACACAGAATTAAGACCGAGGCTTGTGTAGACGAGGTCTGTTGCAGAAAATACGCCCATTGGCCCTCACGAATGCAGCTATAGCAATACTTAGACCTGCCCATATAAATGAGAAGAACAAGTGCCGTAGATCGTACCTAACTGCAAAAGTATTGGAGACAAAATCATCATTTAGTTGCAGATTTGCAAAGATGTTAACGATCAGATATTGTTTCTCTCAAGAAAATGAACCAACATTATCCCAGTCCCATCCCACCCTTTCACCACCGAAGCTATGATTTCTGCAAATCTATCTTTGTCACAACATGACATGTTTATATTTACCTTGCCTCAGTGACAATGTCGCAAAAAAGAACCCCGTCAAAACGAAAAACAAAGCCAGTGGAAATGACTGCAGAACAAAATAATGCGAGTTAAGACACTGGTAAAGGTCGGGAGTTGGGAAATAAAAAAACAAAGTTAACATGAATACACATCTTAATTTGACTTACAGCAACAGCCTCAAGTCCTCCTTTTTGTGATGACGGTGTCATATCTCTGCTGACCGAGACAATGTAATGTCCTTGGAGGAGGTCAATTGCATCCTTCAGGCATTTCCACCAAAACAAAGAAGTAATCAGTACGTAAATAATTGCAGAAGAGATGATATTGCTTTCATACAAAGAGATCCAACACTTATGTACCGAGAAAGGGAGAGATGAATAAAAGGAAGCACACCAACCTGTTTTGTTCCATCGCAAAAGTTATTATAGTAATAACGTAGAAGAGCACTGACTCCATCCTTAGCAATCCCTTGCATTGTCCGCTGTCCACATCTAAGATCCAGCCGAATAAACAAAATTTACCACACCGAAAAACTAAAACTTTCTATCTTATTCTTATGCCAGTAGCAAAACATAAACATGCTCCGAAACCTTCCAAAAGATTTTTCCCCGGCTTCCTAAGTCAGAATCACATTTCTAGGGTAAGAATGCATTAGATGTATGAGTAGATCCATGTATAAGTACCTTACAAAATCTCCCTTCAAAGCAGGAGTTCCAGAATACTGAATGCTTACATCATCCCCATGATTAGCCCACACTGGGGAAAAAAAAAACACAATAAATCAGAAGCAATACGCACCTGCAGACATGGTAAGCCCTCTAAGCACAACCTCTATATGCTAGAGAGAGAGAGAGAGAGAGAGAGGTAGA